TCATTGTTGTTTGGCGGGCCCGGGCTGGGGATTCGAACCCGCCACCTCAGGTGTATGTGGCTGGTGCCTTAGCCGCTTGAGCCACAGGCGCCGAGCCAACCCTCAAACTCTTAATGGTTTTAAAAGTCCTGCAAGTTAAGGCGTGCTGGCTGTTTCATTTACATATGAGTTGGTCGAAGTGAAGGGCTTCGTTCAGTGACAACATGTAGGTTTCCTTTAGCAATGTTTGATTTGCTATGCGTGCTCTCACCACCGATGCAGAGTAGGGGATGATTATTTGATTCCATGTAAATAGAGCTTGAGAAGTGTGCAGTGGTGGTGCCAAAAGTAGAGAAAAATCACAACAGCTCTGAAAGTTTGTTCACTTGCATTAGCGAGTCCCCCTCTGCCCTTAAGAGAGTCTCACTCTGTTGCCCAGGGTAGAGTACTGTGTTGTCAGCCGAGCTCACAGCAACCTTAAACTCCTGGGTTCAGGCAATCCTGCTGCCTCAGCCTTCCAAGTAGTTGGGACTACAGGTACCCCACAATGCCTGGCTAGTTTTCGTATTTTTATTAGAGACAGGATTTCCCTCTTGCTCAGGCTGGTCTCCAACGCTGAGCTCCAGTCCTTCTCCCCTCCTCAGTGCTGGCCAGCGTTAGGGAGCTTTAATAGAAAAAACGCAGAGGTATCTCAGTGGATGCCCTCTGTATTCCTCATCCCTTAAAAAACAAACTCATGGCTGACGAGAGTTACAGAGTTTTGGAATAGTATAAATGGTAACTTTGTGGATTGTGAAAAATATTTGGAAATTGAGTCACTTATATTTTGGGAAAGATAGTGCTTGCCATTTTAAGTGCTTTCTGACAGAAGAGTTGTTTTTTTAATCATGATTTGCCATTTATTTACCTTACTTCTTGGTAATGAAAACAATTTGATTTAGAAAACTTCAGACAAAATGGAAGAAAACACACACACACACATATATATATACATGTGTATGTATATCTGTGTGTATATATATCCACACACACTACTAAATTTAATTTTCATATTAACATTTTATTGAGCTTCTCAGAGTTTTCCCTGTTCTCTCTTTCCCAACATAAGTGGGATACTATTTTTGGTTGGTCTTTTTTTTTTTTTTAAAAGAAACTTTTTACAGAACTTCTCAAATATATCCAGAAAACATTGAAGCATATATAAAAGTACGGAGAATTGTACAATAGACCCCATATGCTCGTCACCCAACTCTAATGGTTATCAGCACATGGCCATTCTTATCTCATCTGTTCTATCATCCCCATGCCCCCAAACTGGGTTATTTTAAAGTAAATCCCAGACATCATTTTAACCATAAGTACAGTCATGTGCCACATAACAACATTTGGATCAACAATAGACTGTGTTTGCAACAGTTCACAGTGTACTTTTACCCTACCGCTTCTATGTTTAGTTATGTTTAAATACACAGATACTTTACCGCGGAGTCCTGGTTGAGTACAGTGCTAGGTGCAGCAGAACGCCCAGGTTTCTGGCCTAGGAGCAGTAGCCTGCGCCACGTAGCTGCGGCGTGTGCAGTGGGCTCGCCGTCTAGGTGTGTGTAAGTGCACGCCGGTGCTCACGCGACGATGCAATTGCCTCGCAGCCCATTTCTTTAGAACATTTTGCTACCCTCGTTGTTCAGTGATGCGTGACCGTATCGCAGTTAGTATCTCTCTATAAGATCCTTTAAAATGCACACACAGGGACCATTATTATTAGGAGTAGTTTCTTAATGTCGCCCACTTAGGATGGAAATGTTCAAACTTTTTCAGTTGTTTCATGAAGCTTTTTGACACTTGGTTCATCTGGATTGAGCCTCTGGCCCTGTAGACGTCCCCACGGTCCAGATTTGCCTGATCTGCCCTTTCTCACCCCCATAACACACACACACACCATTTCTTGCTATTCCCCCTCCCTTTTTTTATTGCCTTTTAACTTCCAAACATTAATGGACAAAATAACCAGTGAGCCTGTCACTCCTCTTACAGATCTTCTCCCTGGGATACTGCCCCACCGGGGAGTGGCTGGCCGTGGGCATGGAGAGCAGCAATGTGGAGGTGCTGCACGTGAACAAGCCTGACAAGTACCAGCTGCACCTCCACGAGAGCTGTGTGCTGTCCCTGAAATTCGCTTATTGTGGTGAGTTCAGCCGGAAGGAAACTAGAGGCCGTTGATGGCCTAAATGGAAAATACTTGTTAAAAAAAATATATATATGGTAGAGATCGTATCTGGAAAAAATATTCTCTGAGCAGCTGGACGCAATAATTCTATTGTTTTATTTAACATGTTCTTCAGAGCACAGTAATGTCTATTTCGGTTCATTTTACTAATTTGAGAAAAGTCAGCAGGCAATGAAATTGCCTTATACAAGTTTTGGACCCATGCTTGTTTTTAATGGGCATGGGGGGAATTATTTGTCACTCTGAAGAGGAGTGGGAGGGAATTTATAGAATAGGATGGGAGCAGTGGAAGTTATGAACTGGCCAGAATGAGGAACCCAGGGTCCGAAAGTGGGGCGTTTAGCTGAATCCAGACTCATACACTCTGCAGTGAGGATTAAGAGGAAAGTCGTGCATGTGGAGACTATGGCTGTACTACAGGTGTTCAAATACTTGTACAGAAGATAGACGAATGTGTGGATGGATGGATGAGTCATTGTCACTTACTGAGTGCCTTCTGTATGCCATATGATTTGATGGCATCTTACTTAGATATTTAATTCTTCCTAATCCCATTTTCATCCTGAGAAGTCTGACTAAAGTAGAACAACATCAACAATTCAGTGCTACATATTTAAGGGCCTACTGTGTGTTGGATGTGATGTTATCAGTCACCAGTGGCTAATGAGGCCAAGATCTCTTGAATTATGTCTAAGATCACACAGGAAATTTACTGAGGAGCCCAAATTAAAAACCTCTGCTCATGTCCTAGACCAACCCTTTGGGCATGATAGTTCATGCATTAAAAATGCTGTCCGTTTGATTAAGCCCAAGTTGTTAATAGTATAGTAGGAATTATTTATTTATTGTAAGAGATAGGGTCTTGCTATGTTGCCCAGGCTAGACATAGCGTGAATTTTAATCTTGCTGAGACTGCATATGCCTTTGCTAATTGTAGGTAAATGGTTTGTGAGTACTGGAAAAGATAACCTCCTCAATGCCTGGCGGACCCCCTATGGAGCCAGCATATTCCAGGTAGGTGCCCCTTATCTGGAATGACAGCTTAACCATGGTGTCACTTTTGAAGCTAGAAAATAAGGGTGCTTCCGAGGGAACAGGGCCCCTGAGTGTCCTTCTTCCACATTGAGCACACACCCATTGTTTTTTCTTCCAGTCCAAAGAGTCCTCGTCGGTGCTGAGCTGTGACATCTCTGTGGATGATAAGTACATCGTCACTGGCTCAGGGGACAAGAAGGCTACAGTCTATGAAGTCATCTACTGAAAACATTATGTGGTTTAACATTTATAGTTGAATTGGGCCAAAATGTTTTGAATTTGTAGAAATAGAAAAGTTGTAACTTTAAAAGAAAAAAAAAACACATAGAAAAACCTGTTTCCAAACCTTGACACAAAACTACTTTGAGTCTACAAAGACTTGTCAACAAGTACATCAGCAGAAGGTCACCTGTCTACCTAGACCAGATGGAGCGCCGAGGCCAAGCGGACAGAGGGCCAAGGGTTGTGGGGTGGAGGGACGGCATCCGCTGACCTGTGTCAGAGCCCGTTCTTCCCAGGTGATCTGTCGATCATGCCTTGCCCGAGTGTGAGATTACCTTTCTGTTCCTTGCAGTTCACCTCACGTTCTGTCCTTTGTAGAGCAGTGGTGTCTCCAATGAACTTGTTTCCTGGTTTTGCATCTTGTGAAATGTTTTTTTGTATTTTTGTTGAAGGTTAAACATTTGTATAAATTGTAAATATATTTGGTTTATTACAGTAAAGGCTTTAGTACCAATAAGTGGTTTTCCTTTTCCTTCTTTGTGGTTTTTATCAAAACTTTGGGATCATCAATGTGAGTTTTACAAGTAAAGTCTAGACATTTATAGGGGAAGTTTTGAAATGCACTTCTTAGGTTTAAATATATTTGGTTGCAGACTCCTATTGTACTTTTTTATTTTTTTTGAGACGGAGCCTCAAGCTATCCCCCTGGGTAGAGTGCCATGGCATCACGCTCACAGCAACCTCCAACTCCTGGGCTCAAGCGAGTCTCCTGCCTCAGCCTCCCAAGTAGCTGGGACTACAGTCGCCTGCCACACCTGGCCATTTTTTGGTTGCAGCCATCATTGTTGTTTGGTGGGCCTGGGCTGGGGATTCGAATCCGCCACCTTAGGTGTATGTGGCTGGCGCCTTAGCCGCTTGAGCCACAGGCGCCGAGCCAGACTCCTATTGTACTTGAACCTAATTCATCAAACATTTCTGGCTAGGAACTGTAAGTAATTGAAGATATATTAATGACAGTTTTATTTAGGGAGCTAAAATTACTCCATCAAGATTCTTTCTTTTGTTGTGATACTCTTCTGATTCAAGTTCACAAATTAAAGCTCAACTTTTTCCTATTGATTCACTGGAAGGCAGAATATTCTTTTCTCTAAGAAGTCCCCAATCTTTTCAAATCTATATTCTTCCTTTACTAGCTTCACTTGGGTTTTGTGTTATGACCCGTGATGCACAGAAAGCTGTGGAGTGCATTAACCTGCAGAAAAAAGGTGGAAAGTCAGCTGGTTGTGTCTTCACTAATACTTACTTGATCTGTTATATTAATATACTTCAGCCAACCATAGGCAGCCTTTCACTGTGTTCTGCTCATTAAGGCTTTTCTGGCAGCTTCAGCCATTGTTATCTGTTATTTTTCTGTATCTTTGTGGACAAGCTTTTACTAAGTTGATTAGATGAAATCTGTAACCCTGGGCTTTTCAGAAGTTACTGTGCATGGCTTCTTCCTGAAGGCTACATGGTTCATTCTTTGTGTTCCTATTATGTATTGTTATATTTTAGAAAATAATGGCTAATAATTTCAAGCCGATTTCCCTGGCTGTTTAAAAATAGCACCTAAGGAATATTTAATGTTCTTATTTTCTTATGATCCAGCAAGTTGTTGGCAGTTTGTCTTCATCTTTTTTGTTACTGAGACCTTCTTGTTTTTTGTATATTTAAAAACATTACTTCGTTTGCTTTTTGCCAAAAAAAAAAATTGTTTATGTACGGAGTTTGTTAAATATTTTCACTTCTCATTAAGCAAATGGCAAACCCCTAATTACTGAAGCTGATTTTGCTCTCATCCCTTCCTTGTATAATGAAGTAGCTTTCTATCCTACAGACTCAGATGGCTTATTAATGGAGTGTTTACTTTTTCTGTTCTCTCCTTCCCTGCCTGACTTCACTATTTTCTCTAATAGAGGAATGGTAGAGACCTAAAAATGCAGTGGCTTAAGGACCACCAGGATTTGTCTCTCCTACCTAGGACTTGGGGACCCAGGCCAGCTATCTGGCTCTGCTTGCCCCCACTTCCAGCCAGCAACAAGGAAAACAGTGGAAGTCCAGCAAAAGGAAATGCTTCCAAGCAGGTGACTGGAATTAGTTCCATCACTTCCATCTGCCAGTCCATTGGTGGGGCCTTTGTCACATGGTGGCCACAACAGAGCCTGGAAAATGCTATGTTTTGCTGTGTAGCTACGTGCTTGTGGAGAAGGTGTGAAAGTTGTATTTTCTGTTGGTCTCCCTTTATTTCCCTTCATGCTTTATAGCAGGCGTCCTCAAACTACAGCCCGCAGGCCACATGTGGCCCGCCTAGGACATTCATCTGGCCTGCCTGGTGTTTTTGCCGCCGCTGTCTGTCCTGCTTAGTAGCCGACTTGTCCCAGGGCCCGAGTCTGCCCCTCCAGTAGTCTGAGGGACAGTGAACTGGCCCCTTGTTTGAAAATTTGAGGACCCCTGCTTTATAGTTTCCCAAGCTTTCAATAGTCTTTCTCCAATAGGATTTTTCTGAGAGGCTCAGGTAGGCTTTACCGACTCATCTCCAATCAGATGAAGCCAGTTCCATTTGATTTTATATCAGACACTGACTGGGTTGGTGGCAAGAGTCCTAGAAGGGGTGTTCTGGTGGAAGCTTCACTGACGAGGGCGTTAGAATCTTGGGGGGAATTGTCCAGACAATTGGGAGGGTTCCCCCTTGGAAGATGCGAACAATGAAAGTTGCCATGCCTGCCGTTCCGGGTGGAGACTCAGCTGTGCACCGAGCTGTGAGCTGCAACTCTGCATGTTTCCTCCTGAAGGCTGCAGGGCTCATTCTGAATATTCCTATCATTTAGGTGTGTAATAGACCTCACAAATGAGTGCTCCAGAGGGAACGTTTCCTTTCCTCCTCAGCTGTGACTGTAGGTGTTGCCACTACCCAGGCGATTGGAACCACACCACTTTTTGACACCCAGTGAACCAGATGTTTCTTGCCCTGAGCATGGTCTCATAGCAGGATACAGCACATTTAGGTTCAGCTGATCATTGTTGCCTTCTGTGTGCCTCTGTATGCGAGGCAGTTTCACATAGAAACGTGTTGGGAGATGATTGTCATTATCCCTATTTAACCAAGGTCAGGGAAGCTGTGTCCCCTTGGTCTCGAGAGAGATAGACCCAACTCAGGTTTTACTACAAGCCTTGTTGGGGTTCTTTCAAATCTCATAGAGTGGGCAGTGACTGCACAATGCCTGTCTGTGCTGCCTCTGTGCGGTATTACAGGTGCATAGATAGGTTTGTGTTCACTGATTCATAATTTATATAAACATTTGTTTTTCTCATTTTTTAAATCAACAGAACAAATATATTTAATATTGGTTTTTTAATCATCCACAGTCTTAGACCTTGTATGTACATTTCTATCATATAGTTCCATGGAATTAAATTAAAAAATGTTAAGGTCCTGGAGAGATTAGTTTTGTAATGCTTTTTTCATAACTAGATGTTTCTAATACTGCTTTTGTAATTAAGGACATAATATTTCGTTGATCTGATCTATTGATATGATCGTTAACATATATTAAGTTTCTGTTATTTGCTAGGTGATGGGGTAGGTGTATGTCATGAATTATGATAATCTCTTGGTGGCTGAGCCATGACATTTTTTGGTAGGTTAACTTTTCTTTTTTTTAAAAGAGACAGAGTCTCACTTTTTTGCCCTCAGTAGAGTGCTGTGCTGTCACAGCTCACAGCAACCTCCAATTCCTGGGCTTAGGTGATTCTCTTGCCTCAGCCTCCTGAGTAGCTTGGGAACACAGGTGCCCACTGGCTATTTTTTGTTGCAGTTTGGCTAGGGCCAGGTTTGAACCTACCACCCTCGGTTTATGGGGCCAGCGCCCTACTTGTTGAGCCACAGGCACCACCCTGGTAGGTTAACTCTTAAGATACCCACCAAAAATCCTATCGCCACCCAGAGGATTATCCTAAGATACTGGGCCAGCCTCAGTGGCTCATGCCTATAATCCTAGCACTCTGGGAGGCCAAGGTAGGTGGATTGCTTGAGCTCAGGAGTTCAAGACCAGCCTAAGCAAGAGCAAGACCCTGTCTCTACTAAAAATAAAGTAGAAAAAGTAGCCAGGCATTTTGGCCGGGACCTATAGTCCCAGCTATTCAGGAGGCTGAGGTAAGAGGATCGCTTGAGCCCAGTAGTTGGAGGTTGCTTTGAGCTATGATGAAGCCCCAGCACTCTACCCAGGACAACAGAGTGAGACTCTCCAAAAAACAAAATAAAACAAAAAATCTTAAGATACCATGACCAGCAAGTAGCAACTGGCTTCAGAGCTATAGCGCATTCAAATAGGGACTTTAAGAATTAGGCCTGTGCTAATAGTTGTGATTTTCCTCAAATTTTCCAGCAGATCAGAGAGAGAGCAGAGTCTTAATTTCAGCCTCTTTTGTTAATTCCATCAGGAGACTGCTGCCTCTGTCATCACTGGAAGGAAACTAAATGGTGATTTTTCAAAGCTGCTGTGGGCCCGTGGATCCTTCACTTCAGGGGGATATTGATGTCCTCTCTTCATTGGCAATGAAGTCAGGTCACCATATTTTCAGGCTTCCCAGAGCGAGGTGAAGTTTGTATAAGGGTTATGTTCTGCCCCCAGGGCATTTACTATACAGATTCATAAATCTTCTTTGCCTGCGTACTTAAACCAGCACTTAATAACAGTTAAATGTTTTATTCTTCACCAGGTTTCGGTTTCTAGAGAAGTTGATGTCAAACTTCAGTCTGTATCTGCATTCCTGGGAAGACTAGTTAAAATTTAGATTTGTAGGCCTGGTCCCAGAGTTTCTTCTGATCACTAGACCAGGATGGGACTTGAATTTGCATTTGTAAAACAAGCAAGCTCCCAGCTAATCCTGAGACTACTGGTCTAGGGACCACACTTTGAGAAGTGCTGGTCTAGGTAATAATCTTTACAGTAGAACCAACAATTTAATAAAAACTATTAGGTCTCTCATTTGATCCCACAATCCCACTACTAAGCATCTACTCAGAAGAAAAAAAATCATCTTATCATAAGGACATGGGCACTAGATTGTTCGTTGCAGCTTCATTTACGATCACCAAGATCTGGAAACAACCTAATTGCCCATCAACTCAGGATTAGATTAATAAACTGTGGCATACGTATACCATGGAATACTATTCAGTCGTTGAAAAAGATGGTGACTTCACATCTTTTGTATTAACCTGGATAAGCTGAAACATTCTTTTAAGTGAAGTATCACAAGAATGGAAAAGCAAATATCCAGTGTACTCAATACTAATATGAAGCCAATAGATCAGGGGTCCTCAAACTTTTTAAACAGGGGGCCAGTTCACTGTCCCTCAGACTGTTGGAGGGCAAGACTGCGGGCCCCAGGATGAGCTGGCTGCTAAGTAGGACAGGCAGCGGCTGCAAAAACACCTGGCGGGCAGGATAAATTGCCTTAGTGGGCCGCACATGG